ACTAAGACTCCAGGGAATCTTTGAAGGCAAACCACTGGGGGTAGAAACTGGGCTTTAGTTTCTGCATCTGTAAATGAGGAAAGTGAATTCTGAATAATATTTTTGAAACCAAGTGACCTTTCAGTTTTAATTTATTGACCATGTTGAGTTCTACTGGGTTTGATGAGAAGTGAAACAGGAGAACTGCAAAGATTTGGAAGATTTTAATAAAAGGCCAGAGATTGATTTGGAAAGGAGTTAATACTCTTTAAGAGCTCTTACTGTTAACTTGGAGAACCTGATGGGTAAGAGGACCCAAAAAGAGCACAAAGGACTTGAGTGAAGTTTGTAAGACAAGTTGGCCAGACACGGTAAATAAGGGGTAAGAAAAGAGAAACGTAGGTAGATAGGTGTGGCTTTCAAAGTCCAAGGAAGAGATGTAGCAATTTTTTCAGTTTTCTAGGGGAGCTACTAGCAAGATTGAGAATTTCACCTTTAGCACGTATAGGAGAACTGAAAATGTTGTAAGGACCTGAATAGAATATGAGATGTATTTTTACAATAGTCAGGTGAATATTTTCTATGTTCAAAGTGCATGCTAGTCTTCTTTCTACAGAAGGTAGGTCACAAGGTGGAAGCGATATTAACAACTGATAACACCAGGTAGAACTTAGTTTGCTTCTGTTTTTTCTGTTAAAGAGAGGGAGAGCAGTAGTAAAGTGGAAAGTGCTGGCCAGGAAGCCAGGAAAACTTGGGTTCAACCCTGGCCTCTTAACACCTTCTGGCTGTTAGACCCTGGGCAAATTACAGACTACACATTTCAGAGAAGATGCTGATCTGCATTTGGTAGAGTTTCCCAAATCAAAGAAACCAGAAGTCCAATGCCTATCTTTTTTCTATCAAAGATAATGGTCTTCATACTTGAGAGGATGAAATAAAAGTGTCCAATGAGTTGATACTCAAAATAGCTTTGGTAATTAAACAGCTGCCCTTGAGTTCAAGTCATTAGGACCAAATAAGCTTGAAAATATGTAAAAAGCTGGCAGGTGAGCCACTGGATTGGTGATTTTTAAATGATAATGGAAGAGTACAGAAAAGCATATGTTCCAATTTTCTTAAAAAAAAAAAAAACAAAAGTGAATGATTTTGCAAAGTATAGGCCAATACACTTGACTTCAATCCCTGGAAAAATTCCCACAACATATTATTAAAGGGATGGTTAACAAATATCTACAAAGGGAAGCAATGATTATGAAAACACATTCAGACTAATTTCCTTTTCATAGGTTTATTCAACTGGAAGATTAGTAGAATGATGCAAGGTTTACATAGTTTATCAGATAATTTGACATTCTATCATGTTATTCTTGTGGACAAGATGGAAAGGTGTGGGATAGGTGACAGGTAAATTTGTAAACTTCGAAAGGCCAAACTGAAAAAGGCATTAGCAGTTTGATTTCAATGTTGAAGGGCCATAGTAGCCCAGGAGATTTGTACTTTGTCTCATGCAGTTTAACCTTTAAAACAATAATTTGTATAAAAGCCAATAAGACATACTTTTCAATGTTTCTGGTAACATAAAGGTGAGAGAAATAGCTAACTTACTGGATGGCAGTCAGAATTTAAAAGATTTCAATAAAGTAGAAAATTGAGTTAATTTTGTAGTAACATAAAAGTCTTATACTTGGGTTTAAAAAAACCAGCTTCAGGGTAGCTAGGTAGATAGACCACCAGCCCCGGAGTCAGTAGGGCCCTGAGTTCAAATTCGGTCTCAGAGCAGACACTTGACACTTACTAAATGTGTGACCTTGGCCAAGTCACTTAATCCCAACTACCTCACCCCCCCAAAAAAATCAATTCCACAAGATGAGGGAAGACATTAGGAGACAGTAGTTCACCTGAAGCTAAGAATGATAAAAAGGACAAAGACAGACATTACTCAGATGAAAATCTACCCAAATATTAAGAGAAACAAGTACCAAAAAAAAAAAAAGATTAATCAGAATGCTAGAGGAAATCTGATGAAGTGAATTTTGTGGTTAACTTAAGCAGAAAACTTTCAACTCTTTATGTTTAAAACATGACAGTCCTTCCTAATTATCACTATGAAGATACAGAACTATTTATGACTGCAGATACAGGCTATGCAAATTAGGCTAAACTTCACTGAACCACTTCTGTTTTTTAAAAAATCTAAATAAATTCAAACCTAGACAGCCTGTCTGTTATTTGTAAATTACTTTGAAAGTTGAAAGAAGTTCTGATTGTATACATTCGCTGGAATTCACTTAATTGAAGTTATACTCTAGGAACTTCTTTTGAGTAGCTTTCTAGATGGCTCTTAAAACCTGTATTTTTCTTCTACCCTTGTTATTTGACAGGAATAACTGCATAATTGAAAAAGGGAAAAGAAAATTTAAAAAGCCTAAAGAAAGTTCCTCTTTTTCATGGTAATCAATTTTGGAAGAAGAGAAGCCCCCTTCCTTTTTCTCTAATGATGCAGGACGCTATGCTGTCTTGGGTGAAGTCTGGTGCTTCAGACTTTCAAGTGCTCCCAAGACATGCTTTTTTATCTTCTTTTTATCTAGTCTTTGAAAATAAGATTTTTAAGTCCTTGAAACTTCTGATTGGGGAAAATACAAGAAATGATTAACATTATTTTACTGAAAACATTTGTTTTATCTCTGATAAATTTAACAAATATACCGTGTTCAATCTAAGTAAGTTAAAAAAAAAAAAAGAAGGTTGAGACTAATCCATAGTTGAATATTGCACATCCCTGGCACCTCAGTCAGTTCAGGATAACAGTGTTTTATGAAGCCAACATCCAACATTTTGAAAGTCAACTACCTTGCTCTGAACAGTGGGAAAGTTCAAACCACAGCAACATAAATCAAAAGATGTAACAGTAACAGGTAGAGAAGAAAGTCTGTAGGAGTAGATATATTTTTAAAAACTTAGTATTAAGGTCAATTAAAAGGGCCAATTAACATGTTAAAATAGTTGCCCTCTGACTTTCTAAAAGGGAACTATACATTTTATTGTATTCTGAACTAAAACTCGGGTCCATCAGGAGTTACAGTCCCTTTTCCTTCAGTTTATGTTGAGGCCAAAAAAAAAATCTTAAAATTTAGATTAAAATAAGTATTTACTTTTCTTTTTAAAAGTACTCAATATGTAAATTCATTTAAAATTAAATATTCTTCAGAAAGTCCTTTCTGTTGATATTTTAGGAAGGAGGAAAGAGACAGAAGGAAAAGATACTATGTATAACTTACTATACTGACTTTCTAGAGTACTGATTAAGAATCAACAGTAAGAGCACTTACTTAAGGTTAATACTCCCAGTTGGGGCACAAATTAATCTGGTGCATAGGCTAATTTAAATTTGAGGTTCCAATCTATACTTACCACAAAGGATGAAGTCCACACCCCATTGCTGCTCTCAACAAAAGCTGACAAGACATCAAGGCTTCCCTTAGCTCTCCTAGTTTCTGCCGCTGAAAGCAGAGCTGACAGGTGGCAGAAATTCCCCAGCGCCTGTCTATTACCACTGGGAGCTGGGGCATTTCTGCTGCCCATCACCTGCTACTCTGAACAGCAGTCAACAGGCAGGAATGGGGGCTGAGGAGATCTCTGCTGGTCAGCAGTAGCTGGTGTGAGCAGGAGATGGGGGATTTCTGGCACCTGTCAGCTGCCAGTGTACCCACTCTGTAAGTTAATTCCTATTTTGAAGATTTTCTTAACCTTAAAAGGTCAACTTATATGTGTGCTCTATGGTACTTGGCATCATCTAGGCATGCTGTTGTGGTGATAAGGTGAGGTTTCCCAAGAGAGGGTAACCTGTCTCATAAAAGCACATTTTAGGAAAATTCCATATCCTACCTTTTAGGGTGGAGCCTTATACAGAAGTGCCAGCAATTCACAAAATGACGCAAATATGTTATATATATATATATATATATATATATATATATGTTAGGCCTGAAGTCTGATCACAAGTTTATGAATTCTGGTTCTGTTTACATTTATGGTCTCACAGCCATTTTCTTCCTTGACTGGCAAGTAAGCCTGTGTAGATAATTCAAGAGTGATTTGATTGAATATATTACTGCCAGATGAATATTCCTAAATGCCATCAGTCATTCCCTATTCAAGAATTTAGAGTTTGACTAAGATGTTGTACTTAAGCAAACTTTTAATTTTAATACTGAAATGATCCTGAAAGAAAAAATGGCCAGAAGAGAAAGCGCAGATGTAATAACTTCTACCCTCATCAATAAAAGCAAGCAGAACTCTGGCAGAAGATGCAACAAATGTCATTCAGATCATATTCTAACAATCATAATGTCAAGGAGAATTTTTCTAGGTGGGGAGAATTTCTTCTTTGAGAAATTTTTTTCTTAAAAAGGAAAAGGGGAAAAGGAGGATGTTTTATTGATAACAAGCAAAACATCTTACACGACACAGCATTCTTTTAAGTCTCTTTGAAAAGTAGTTCTATGTATACACTGAATTTAGACATACACTTCAAAACCATCAAACTATAACGAAACCAAATGGAAGTACTGAGTAAAAAACTTAGATTTTTACCAAACATTTCACACTGTATTAACATTTTTTAATTAAGAAAATAAACAATGTGGATTTAAATACTGCTCTGAGTATCTACATACAAACACAGAACTAGACTATGAAGTAAAATCCATTAGATATGAGTGCCTAAAAGAATGAAACATATTATTACCAGAAATGATAAGTTTACATTTCAATAACTGACACCCAAGATAACTCTTTTAAATGAAGCACTTTTGGCACATTTCTTAATTATGCAGGCTCTTTTTCTTTCCCTTCTTCTCCCTGGAGAAGAACTATAAGAAGTTCTGGCAGATAAACCAGGGTCCTTGAGTATTTGAGGAAATATTAAATTTTAAGTTAACCAAAGAACACAATTTTTAAAAAATCCAGCATCACATTAGGAATTATTTACACCCATAAAGCAAAATAAAACAAAACAAAGCTATCATTTGCTCAATTTATTTAAACAAATCAACTTAGAAATGTCACTGAATTAAACAAAACTCTGAACATGTAAACATACTGCCATGTTCCTGAAACAGATGTTAACACCTGTATAAAAATTAGCAATCACTATTAGGAAAGCGGTTCATTGATAAAGGCCCAATTTTCAGCAAAACTAAAGTCATTTTGTTTCTCTACCCTTTCTAGCATTTGTAAGTCAATACTACCAAACTGCAGTCAAGTAAAATAAGACAATATTGGATGGTTGGATCAGTACCATTGGTTACAGCTGTTACAAACAATTTCTCTGAGCACATAAAAACAACTAAGCCAATCGCATCAAATAATTCATGGCTTTTTTTTTCTTGATCACAATTCACTAAAGGATGTTAATTATGGTCCTTGTCAAACACATTTGGTAAAGGCTATTTACAGTGTACATGGCTGAGCATGCACTATTTATAGATACAAAGATACTTGCCAGTTCATTACAATATAATTACACAGTGCCTGAAAATGGAACATTTCACACATCATTTTAATCAATACAGTTTCAAGTGAGAAATGTTCCTTATTTAACTACAACTGCAATACTTACATGAAAATTCTTATAAAAACACTAATCCCCCCTCAAGAAATTTAGATGCATATTCTACACACTACAGGTTAAGGCAGTAAAAAAATGTATTCCTGATAACTGGAGTTCTTGACAATGTCAATTAAAGCTGTCTGATTTTAGTCCTCCATTCTCCATCAACACTTTGATGTCTTGTGTAACTAGTGTGTGAATGATTTCAATTTTAAAGTCAAAAGACATTTTAGCAACAAAGAGAACAGAGTTGAAGCTGGTAAAAATAATTGCTTGGGAAAGGGAAAAGGTGACTTGGAGTTTGACTAAGAGTTCACATCATTAAAAATGAGCAATTAAACATGAGCATGAACTTTTAAAAAGAAACAACAGAAACAAGACCATATACACAGTTGAGTTTTTGTAATATAATTAAAAATATACTGCACTTTGAAGAATTCAAGTAATTTAAGACTATCAAAAATAACTTCATGAACCATACTCAAGTGTCAATTGCATTTCTGATCTTTTAATTGAAAGCATTTTTCTCTGTCAACTAAACCATAAAGGCTCAGCTAAACAAATGACAAAAAGTGAAATAAAAATATTTGCACTTGTGACTCCTTTAATACACACTGCTACCAAAAAATAAAATGTGGAAGATTATGCAATTAATCAAAGCACTTTGACTTACATGTGAAGCAAATTCAAATGGTAGACAATCTGTGAATCAAAGATGCAAGAAATACCCACTATTTTATAGCCAACCCTTTCTCTAAACATTCCTCTAGTCCTCAGCTGCAGATGAGACAGAACACAATCTGTTGTAAACAGGGCACTGTTGTAAAACCAGGAGATCTATATTCTTAAATTAAGATAGTTCATAAAATTGAAAGAGACTCCTAAGCGTCTTCCAGCAATGTAGCATGTTCTGCTGAGCTGTTAATTTTGCAAATTAACTTTCCTTTGATTTCCACTTTAATGATGGTTGCATTCACAGCAGTTTTGTCTTTAAAAATCAGTTGAAATTTATATAAAATTCTGTACATGTTCACAAATTATTGCATAAACAGCATAATCTTCAAGACAGTGTCAGCATAACACATGTCCAATTCAGGATAAAACATTCACGTTTCTCGTCTAGCTTTTTTCTTCTTTTTTACTTGTTTGGGAGATTCCCAGCTAGCTTCAGACTTGGCTAAAGAGTAGCAAAACATAAAGGAAAAAACTTAGATAAACTACCTCTCCAGGCTTCATAAGGGTTACAACAATATAAAATACAATAAAATCCTCTTTTAAGAATTCTCTTTTGTGAAAATCTTACTAAATCTATGTTCAATATTTTTAGGTGCTATGTTTTCAGAAAAGGTTCCATTTTCCCTACTATGTTTTTGCTTATTAGAAAGATTTTTTCTAATTGTCCTTTTAAAAGAAAAAGTATAGCAATTGGTTGAAGTCCAATACAAATGAGCAATGCAAATTATAATATTTAAATCATTTCAAGGAATTCATTATTTGCTGGACTAAGAAAACCTGTACTTCTGCTTGTAACATACTGTGCATATGAAAAAGCAAGATTAAGTGAAGTGTTCATCTCTATGAAGGTTACTTTAATAGTCTTACTCTGACATCTGTCATAACCAAGAACTGCCCCAAATTATCAATCTTTTGAGACTACTGGGCATTTACTCAAGAAAAATCTTTTAATACTAAGTTCTTTGGATCTTTAAGAGGCTTCTTAGCCTCTTAACAATTTTAGAGCTAGGAGGGACATTAAAATGAGATGCAATTTACAGAGCCAAATAGCACCAGGGTTCCCAGTAAGAATCCCATAAACCTGGTCGACTGCTGTCTACAAAAATTAAGAACAAGGAAAGCTAGTGCTGATGTGTTTTAAATTTGATTGACAATCTAACCCTTCCTACCTAGTTCCCAAAACAATGAACACTTGAAAATATTGCTGAAATCCTGGAAGTAGAAAGGAGCTATATAATTTGAACCCTTGACCCCTCCAACTGCCTGTCCCAGTTCCCTCCCTCACCCCCCCCCACCTTTAATAAGGGTTTACTCACTCTGGGAAGGAGGCACACTATTCTGCTTAAGATTAGGCTTGGAAACAGCTGTCTCTTGTAGCGTCTGGGGCACTTGGGAAGGGATCTTGTCAGATTCATTTTGTGATAAAATTACAGATGGCTCGGTAGAAACAGCAAGTGGAAGAGTCTTAACAGGCTATTTTGAAACACAAAGTTTTAAAAGAGATTTCTTACATAATATAATATTAAACACAATTTAATTCAGATGACTTTCTTATTAATGCATACTGGTGACTGATCTTAAGAAAGAGGCAATGATTAGTGATCAACAGAAGCACAAAGCAAACTTATTCTTGTCTTTTAAGTGACAAACAAAAATTAGTTCTTATTCAAAGATCCAACTGACTGAAATTTAAATTTAAGGAAGGTCTTTGTATAACATACAGATATGATGAGTTTAACAAAAAACAGAAATTTTCCTTCATTTTCATTATTTTTAAATTTTGGTTAATTTATATTGGAGTTCTTTGTCGTTGTTCCCCCCGCCCCCCCAGCATGCTGTTGTGTGGGTACAAGCTGGCAATTAAACTGCAGCTCCATTAATACACCTGATTTTGATATCACAGTTATTTCCAGATTTATAACACGCCCCACTCCTGCCCCCCAATTATAACAAAGTAAAGTAGTTAATCAAAACCAGCTGATTGTGTTTGAGTCAGAAAGTCCCCTCAGCATGGCACACTGTATTTATATCTCCCACGTCTCCAGTGAAAGGAGAAAGATGTTTTTCAATGTCTTGTTCTCCGGTGTAGTTGAGAGTTCAATTTGGTTTTAGTGGAGTTTTTATTTATGTTAACGGTGTATAATGTCTCCTGGTTCTGTTTACTTCAATCTGCATATGTTCATAGAAGTCTTCCCCTTTCTCTAAATTCTTCCCTTCTGACATTTCTTAAGGTAGAATACTACTCAATTCCCAATCAATGAACAGCCTTATTTCTTGGTTTTTTTCAACCACAGTAAGTACTGCTATAAGCACATTCTGTCTTTGACTCCTTCCATTCCCCTTTTCAGTTTTTTACCTCTAAGCATGTCTCCTGGATGGAGGGGGAAGAGATACCTGTCTGGTCAGTGAAAGACAACACTGCCAAGTATTGTTATCCTTTGCTTTAATGCTAACCACTCCTAAGAAGCAGTGATGAATATGGAGCAATTCTCTCAAGGAGCACCAGCAATTCTTGTAGTTTTACATACAAAGTAAACACTGTTGTGGCTCTAGCTCTTTAGCAAGTTTACAACAACAAGCAAAACTCAATTAGAGAAAGTCCTGACTCTGGACTGCATATACAGTCTGACTGTGTGCTAAGCAGGCAGAGCAAATAGACTATAAGCTCTACTGTCCTCCCTTCACACGTGGGGGCCTGGTTAGCAATAAGGAACTTGATTTGGTTAGCTGTCCATGGAGATGTCACCTAGGGGTCAAGACAGAGGAGTAGAAGCATTTGTAACCTTTCCCTGCTATCACGTGACATGTTTCTACAAGAAAGAACTGAAAGACATAAACATAAGCAAAGTGGAGAAAAACAACTATCCCTATTTGTTCACAGCATGGTGTTTGCAGAGAAAACAAGAAATCAACTATTTGAGGCAATTAACAGCCTCAATCAAGTAGGAGAGAAAATAAACCCGTGAAATCTGTAGTATTTCTATACATAAACACCGAAATCAAGGAAGAACAAATAAAAAGGGAAATCCATGCAAAATAACTACAAAATGCACAAAATATTTGGGAGTCAATCTACTTGAGACTTGCATAAAAACAATGCAAAACACTCTATAAAGAAATAAGGAATTTAAATAACTGAAGTGATATTAAATGATCAAGGATGGGCTACATCACTATATATTTTAAAAAATAACAGTACTGTCTTTGACAGTGAGTCACTTAATAAAAACACTGGCGTATCTCAGTTGACAAATGATAAATAACCTTATTTAATGATGCTGCTAAACCTAGAAATGTTGGGATTACTTTCTTGTAATTTAAAACATATATGCAGAATTCAGAAAGAAAACAAACAACCCCTCCTCCCCAATCACCAAGAATTTACTGTTTTTATTAGTTTCAAATCAGTCTTTAGAAATCTTTACTCTTAGAGGAGCACTGTCCCTCTAAGGTACTCCCTCAGTTATGGAAGGAGAATGACATTTTCAATCATTTTTTAAAAAAAAAAGGCTTTGTCTAATATAATTTAAAAACTCATTCCTTAGACAAGTATTGGGCCCTGATAGAAATCAGAAGTCTCAGAAAGACTCACTGATGTATGTAAAGGGCCGCGTGACCCAAGTACCATTGTCTCAGTGTGACTGGACCATTCTTTTCTCCTCTAATGAAATGTCCCTCTCTTGCTCCTGCCTTCCCACAAAACCACTAGCTACATTATCAGGAGCTTCCACAAAATATATGCCTTCTAAAGCCCAATTTAAAATATAATTATTACATTTCCTAAAAAAAGAATTGCCAGGTGGATAGAACTTGATATTTTTTGAACAATGGCCACGCTAACCAAACATCTGAATCCTTACAGAGGTTTCCTCTGAGCCAGCATAGCTCATCTCTCACTTCAACCGTTGAGTCTGCAAGGCTGTGCAAAAAATTACCTGGCTACTTTTGATGAGTACTTCAGGTGGATCACTAGTGCTCATGGTCTTCGAAGAAGGATCTTTTTTCTGTTTTGGATGGACTTTAGAGGTCTCCATTGCAAAATCTTCTCTAAACTCTTTCTCTAACTCTTCTGTATCCTGCAGAGGAAAAATGTCCAAATAGTTTAAATAGAATGTTGATTGTAATAATGAAATTAATAAGACTAATAACAACAACAATGATGGTAATAATAATGATTGGATTTCTATATAGCACTTTAAGGTTTGACAAGTGTTTTACATATTTTGTCCTCATAACTGCCCCAGGACATAGATACTATTAGTGCCCTCCTTTACAGATAAGGAAACTAAGGCAGAGGTAAATGACTTGCCTAGAGTCATATACTTAGCAAGTGTTTGATGGTGAATTTGAACTCAGGTCTTCCTCAGGTCCAGTGTACTAACTACTGTGACACTTAGCTGCCTGGGGTCTACAGTTCACAGGTTAATTGATAGCTGCTGCTTTAGAAAAGCATAAATCTATAAGCTAGTCCTTTTTCCCTTTCTCCACTGGGTTTTACCTGTTCTAGACAATTAAGGTTGTTAAGAGGTCTGACCTAAAAATACTGCTTTTCAAAACAATTAAATTGAAATAAAACTGAAATACCCAGTTTCACATTTGATATTTCATGCAGTCAAGTCCCTGATCCATTATACTATCATAAGTACTATCTTTTGCTTCACTATTACTGACAAAATCATATTTTATGACTACTTTCAAGTCGCATAAAATTTCCATTGTAATCAAACCATACTAAATTGCTCCAGTTCATAGAGAGTGCCTGAGGTACAGGACAGGTGAGAGGAAGGGAGGAGGTTCATAAAAGAAAATCAGAACCATTATTTACTGATGTAGGTGAGAAGGTCAGGACCATACAGACTAACATCATGAATACCCAGTTCTTTCTGACTCCAAGGGCAGTTCCTTATCCACTACCCCATGCTGTTTTTCCAGTGCATTCATACATTTAATTGCTTGTCTATTTATTTACTTATTTACTTAATAAAAGCAAATACAATATATTTGCAAACAACAGATATCAGCTCTGATACTCTGACAATAAACTGCAGTTACAAATATGTAAGTGTAGATATGGACAAAAAACCCCAAGAAAACAAAACACAAAGAGGGCAATACAGTATGCCATTCTGTTTCTCTGTACATAAAAGAAATAGTAACTTCATAATGCTATTTTTATTAGTAAAAAAAAACATTCAAAGTATTTTAAAGTACCATACTAACCATGTTTTGGGGAGTTAACTTTTTTTTTAATAAAGAAAATAACTGTTCAGGTCAGTGGTAGCTATAAAGCAAAAAGACTAAAGGACAAAGGTAGATGATACAGTGTTATTTTTGCCTTGTGAAGTCATATTATCTAAAACAGAAAACTAGCTGGATTAGAAAGTAATGTCCAATGGTTGAGGGTAGCTGACTACTTTCTAAGGTCTGAGAACATGACATGGCAACTTAAGGCCTTTGCTTTTTCCACCCTTAGTTCAGCTCCTTGATTTTATGACCTCTAGCAGATCAGATGTCAACAAATAGAACGACTTTAATAAAGCAAATGCCCAAACGTCATCAACCCTTTCCAATACTTCTGCAACGTTATCTTTTCTTAGTGACTTGCCCAAAGTCATCCAGGTCTTCCTTAACTGATGGACAATCCTCTATAGCTTCTGCCCTGCTGTGCTACTTGCCTCTCTATTCTAGTCACCTTTTAGCTATCACTTCATATTAGAAGGAATCGAGACTAAATAGGAAATACCACACTCTGGTTACCTGTGCTGGAGAGTTAGTCTCTTCACCTTGCTTCTTCTTTTTCTTTTTCTTCTTTTTAGATTTGCCAGATGCAGAACTCTGAAGAGGCACATCTTCCTTTTCTTTATCATCATCTGAAAACTAATGTTAAAAATATAAAACATTAAAGGGAACCAATGAGATTAAACCATGATACTTAAATATTCAATAAACCAGAGTAGGTATAATCTTATCCTAGAATTGGAAATTGAGAGGATGCCCATCAACTGGGGAATGGCTGAGCAAGTTGTGGTATATGAAAGTAATGTAATACTACTGTGCTATAAGAAATGCTGAACAGGCTGACTTCAGAAAAACCTGGAAAGACTTATATGGTCTGATGCTGAGTGAAGTGAGCAGAACCAAGAGGACTTTGTACACAATAACAGCCACGTTATGTGATGACTAATATTGTTAAACTGAATCCTTCTCAGCATTACAAGGATCTATGACATCTCCAGAAGCCTCGGGATGGAAAATGCTATCCACATCCAAAGAAAGAACTATTGGAAGTCGAATCGCTATCACTTATTTTTACCTTCTGTTGAGTTTTGTTTCATATTTCTCATGGTTCCTCCTATTGGTTTTAATTTTTACTTACAACTTCACTAATGTGAAAATACGTTTAATGGGAACGTAAATGTAAAGCCTATATCAGATTGTGCGCCATCTTGGGGAGGGTGGGGGGGAGGAAGGGGGAGAAAAATTTTCAACTCAAAAGCATATGGAAGTGATTGTTGATAAATCAAAATAAATTAATAAAATTTTTTAAAAAAAGGAATAATCTTATCCTTCACATTAAGCATTTCTTCACTATCTTTTTATAAGAACTAGTAATGGGACTTCTGAGTAATGTTAGCACCAAGAAGACTAAACATCTTCTCTGATCCCTACAACCTCTCAAGCTTCTCCAAAACAGAAATTATGTGCCACAGATAAAAGCTACTTCAGCTATCTCCATGTCTAGGGAACCCAGAATTCAAAAGGAACTACTGGGGAAAAAAAAATCTCCTGGTCTTTATGATTTATTGAAGACTTCTATCAAACTTTAAGCAGTTAGTACCCATAGTTCATAAATTATTCTAAAAAAAAAATAACCTCACAGAACTCTTTTTGAGATTTAGTCCTAAAAACCAGGGAAAGATAAAACACAGAAAGAAAAATTATCATTAATGAACACTGACTTAAAAGTTTTAAGCAAAATCCTGATTACAGGGAAGAAATCAAAGAAATCATTTATGATGACCAAGTAGGATCTATACCAGGAGTGCAAAAATGATTCAACATTAGGAAAGCAATCACCATAATTAATCATGTTAAAAACCCAAAATCAGAAACCACATGATCATCTCAACTGATGCAGAAAGTCTTTGACAGGGAGCAGTTAGGTGGTACAGTGGATAGAGCATGGACCCTGAACTCAGGAGATACTTGACACTAGCTGTGTGACCCTGGGCACGTCACTTAACCCTGACTGCCTCACCACCCCCCCCCAAAAAAAAAAAAAAAGAAAACTGGAAAATAAATTGCAATTAAAGAAAACTCCTATTTTAAAAAAAAAAATGAACGGGCTAACTTCAGAAAAACCTGGAAAGACTTGTATGGTTTGATGCTGAGTGAAATGAGCGGAACCAGGAGAACACCTTACACAGTAACAGCCATGTTGTGCGATGACTAATGTTGATAGACTTAACCCTTCTCAGCCATACAAGGATCTAAGACATCTCCAAAGGCCTCATGATAGAAAATGCTATCCACATTCAAAGAAAGAACTATGGAGTTTGAATGCAGGTTGAAGCATACTATTTGCTAATTTTTTTTCTTCTGTTGTGTTTTGTTTCCTCTTTCTGGTGATTCCTCCTATTGGTTCTAATTCTTACAACATCACTAATATGAAAATATGTTTGTAATGTAAAAATGTTAGGAATGTAAAAAAATGTAAAAAATATGTTAGGAATGTAAAAAAAAGAACTATTGCTATTTGTTGCTGATATAACAGTTTACTTGGAAAAATCTTAGAGAAACAGAAAAGATACTGAGACAATTAGCTTCAACAATGAAGTCCTCAGGGCAGGTAGGTGGCGCAATGGATAGAGCGCTGGTTCTGGAGTCAGGAGGACCTGAATTCAAATCCGACCTCAGACACTTGACATTTACTAGCTGTATGACCCTAAGCAGGTCACTTAACCCCTACTGCCTTGCCAAAAAAATCTCTCAAAAATTAACAGCATTTCTACATAATAACAAAACACAGAAGAAGCATTAATAGAAAGGAAAAGCCCATTCCAAACAACTACAAAAAGTGTAAAATATCTAAGGACTGACCTACCAAAACACACAAGATTTAAAAGATTTAATTATTCCTTAAAAAAATAAAGTACAACTTTGAAAAACATTCAGTTCTCATGACTAGGCCATGCCAATATAATTAAAATGACAACATTATGCTAATCAAATTACCAGAAGGATACTTTATACAACTTGATAAAATAAGAGTCATTTGGAAAAACAAAGACATAGAATATCAGGGGAAAACAACTAAAAAGAGAATAGCACTTCCTGATCTCAGCAACAGTTCTCAAAACCATCTGGGACAGACTAGATAAGGGAGACTCTGAAACAACATGGATTTCATAACCTAGTGTTTGATAAAATGGAAAACATAAATTGCCTAAGAAAATATTTGATGGGGCAGCTAGGTGGCACAGTGGATAGAACACCAGCCCTGGAGTCAGGAGGACCATAGTTCAAACCCAGTCTCAGACACATAACACTCACTCACTAGCTGTGTGACTTTGGATATGTCACTTAACCCCAATGGGTCGTCCCCCCCCCCACACACAGACAAAAATTGTTTGGGAAAACTGGAAAGCAGTTTGGCAGAAATTAGGATTAGACAAACAAATTACACTTCATTCTATAATGTATTCTAAATAAATACGACACATTAAAGATAATATTATAAAAAACTTAGAAGAGAAACAAAATGTATACCTCTCACAATTTGGGGTAGGAGATACATTCTTAACTAAAAAGACAGAGGCAAATACAAAAGATAAAATAGAAAATATGAAACTGAAAATCTGCAAAAACAAAATTAATGCACCTAGGTGATAAGAAAGGAAGTAGGTGGAGGCGGGGAGAACATGTGTATCAAATTTCTCTGAGAAGGGTATTCCAAGTGTAGAAGGAATTAATAAATATACCTAAGACCACCAACCATTTCCCAAAACAGAAGTGGTCAAAGAATACGAACAATTTGCAAAAGAACTGCAAAGTATCCACAACCATATGAAGAACGTTCCAAATTACTAATAATGAGAGAAATGCAGAACAAAACAACACTGACGTTTCACCTTACACCCTGAAAACTGGCAAAGGCGACAAAAAATGGCAATAGTCAATGATGTAGGGATGGTGGAATGGTTAAGCACACTAATTTACTGTTGGTGAAACTAGTAAAATGGTCAAACTATTTTGGAAAATGTGTAATTGTGCAAATAAAATGTCCATACTTTGATTTAAATTTGATCATTTAGTTTTCTACCTGTAATTAAGTTGAGTTGTACAAAGGTCAAAAGGCAGCCAAGAAAAAGCAAAAACCGTGAGCAATCTAAAAAGTACAAAATAAACTCCCCAAAGAAAAATAACTAATTGTACAAATAACCCATGTTGTAAAATACAGGTAATAAATGGAGAGGCAGAATACAAATAAAGTAAGTCTTGTTATGTAGTGGTTTGTTTAAAATTTAAAAACATGATTAGAAGAAGAGGAAAGAAGCTATAAATTCTATAATGTTAATAGCAGCTCTCTTTGTGGTGGCAAAGAAATGAAAACTGCAGGGATGCCCATCAGCTGGGGAATGGCTGAACAAGTTGCAGTATATGATTGTGATGGAACACTATTGTGCTATAAGAAATGATACACTCAATGATCTTAACAAAAAGAAAGACTTGCACAAAATAGTGAAGAGCAAAATGAGTAGAACCAAGAGAACAACACCGTATACAGTAACAGCAATACTGTTTTAACAACAATAATCAGTGACTGTTATAAATACCCAAATTAACCACAAAGGACATATGAATAAAAACACTATCTACATCCAGAGAAAGAACTGATAAATAGATGTATAGAATAATTTTACACACACACACACACACACACACACACACACACACAGAGCTATTTGTATCTAATAGTAGCCATCTCTAGGGCAAGGGAGAAGTGGTAGGGAGGGAAAAAAAGAAAAAAAGGAAATTGCATAACTTTATTACATATTTAAAAGGAATAGCAAGTTATACATAAGAGATTTGCAGTTTCATGTACAATCATCTTTTTTTATACTATATTATAGAAATGCTTGTTTTATTCCATAAATTAAAAATAATTTTAACCTTAAAGAAGTCTGAGAAATGGTGATTATACTTTTTCAGCATTTGTTTTAGAAATGAGATCCTTGGTAGATGAACATCAATTGACAAATCATGCCAATTCTATGGCCATATTTCCCCCATCTGACTCTCTATGTACCCACAGGCATCCAACTTAGTTCAGGTTTTTGTCAGGTTTCACCTAGATTATTACAGTGGCCTTTAAGAGACTCTCCCTCAAGATGGCATAGTAAGCCACAGGTCAGCTCAACTCTCTCACAACTACTCCAGAAAAGACATTAAAAAACCATGGCATACATAACTATTAGAAAATGAAGGAGAAACAATGGTAAGTGCATTTTGCCAACCCAGGTCCACACAAAGAGATAACCAAAAGCCTATGAGAAGTAGGGAAGGAGTCCGTACAAAGGAGCCTAGCCTAGGAGCACAGCTCACAGAGGCCTTTCAGCTCAGGGACCAGGGAGATTGGAGCACAGACCAGAATCTAAGGTAGGACACCCGGAGCTGGTAGCTATGCCCTTCTGACCCTGAATACAGGTTTAAAAAGTAAAGCTGGAAAAATGAGTAAAAGCAAGAAAACGCTCAAGACAGAAACTCAAAAGAAAATAACTTCACATCATCTGCAAGTGAATGAATGCCCCAGGAAAATTACAGAATTGTTCCAAGATTTACTGGATTTCATGGAATTAAAAATGCTAAAATTTTAAAATGCTATAAATGAAATATAATGGGAAAGGAATTTGAGAGGTCTAGAGGAAAGAATTGCAAGGAGAAGAAACAGTGTAGCACAGGAGGTGCATAACTTTATTCAAAAACAGGCTCATTGTTGGAGGGGCTACAATTTAAAAAGGCACACCGATGCACAGGTAGCACATTCTGAAAAACAGCCTAGAACTATGCCCCCAAAATCACTAAATTACTAAGCCTATATTCTAAAGATATCAAAGAAAGATAAAAAAAAAACTCCAGGTATAAAAATATACAGGAGTCCTTTTTGCAGTAGCATATAATGGGAATTATGGGGGAGGAGGAACAATAATTGAATAATAGTTGAATCAATGATATATTAACATAACACAATATCATTTTCCCATAAGAAAAAAGCGAGTTTTAGAGATAACAGGGAAAACTGATAGGAACTGATGCATAGTGAAGTGAACAGAATCACAAGAAAAATGTATAACATAAAAACATTGTAAAGGAAACAACTCTGAAAGAACGAAGAAATAATCAATACAGTGACAAAGTCCAATTCCAAAGTGCTAGTGATGATGCATGCTACTGCTACCTTCTGACAGTAGTATGATGGACTCAAGGTACAGAATAAGATGTTTTTAAATACAGCAAATGTTTGAATTTGTTTTGATTGTTAATCACAAGAATTCCTTTTCTCTTTTCATTTAAGGAATATGGCAGAGAAGAGGGGAGCTAGTAACTTTACTGCCAAAAAATAAAGACCAATTAAATGGGGGGGGGAGATAGAGGTTGGGGGCGGCACAGAGGTGCACATGCCAAGCCTCTCCCCACCTCCATGTGCAGTCAACTAAGTATTTAAAAACAAAACAACAACAGAACCAATGGCTTTACAACAGGTTTCCCTGACTCAAGTTCCTCTGCTCTCCAATTTGCCCACCAGGTACCTAAGTAATTTCTCCTAGGTACAGATCTGGCCACAAACTCCAGCAGCTCCCTATTTTATCTGTGATAAAATATAAACTCTAAAGTCCCTCAACACCTGATCCCAATCTATCTTTCCCCTGTCTTACTCCCTTTCCTCTACTCCACAGTTCAGTCAAACAAGCCTTCTCCATTCCTCACAAAGCACTCTATCTTGGGTCTCCATGCCTTTGCAGTGGACTTCCCTTAATTGTGGAATACATTCCCTCCTTAGCTCTTCAAGATGCAACTCAAAGACCGCCTTCTATATTTTCAGGTTAGCCAGCCTAGCTGAAGCAGCAAAGCACCCCAAGGGAAAGACAGGAGGCAGCATATGTGCCAAGTTAAGTTAAACCACTACTACCAGTTTGACCCTGATGAAGATAGCTTGAACAAAAACACAGGGAACAGTAAATGCTTGCAGCCCAACTTCCTCAGCCATCACCCTGGGAAGCAATCCCTGTGGAGATGTGGCTGGGCAACTACTCCTACAGGTACTACAGCTACTGAAGAACCAGAAAAAAAGTTTTTGCCACAAAAGTCCTTCACCTTGTTAAATGATTCAACAACAGAAAATGGTATCATTTTATCAGTGGAAATCACCATTGATTTGCTGCTGTATACTAAGGCCCACGGGCTTTTCCATCTGACTTGCAGCTGAAACCTTGCATATGTGTCATGCCACTCATTAGAAGATGAGCTCCTTGAGAGCAAGGACGGTCTTATTTTTCTGTTTGTACCCCCAGTGCTTTGACATATTTTATTCACTCATTGATACAGGAAACCTTACCTAATCTTCCCAACTGCTAGTGCTCCTATCTCACTATCTTAGATTTAACTCCCTTGGGTTCCCTATGTGTCCTATGCAAAAACTAATTGAAAGAGAGATTAGGTACAGATGGTGAGGGCCTCCAGATGCTGTTTGATGGATGACACTGTACTGACTACATCAAACCTCAAGATACTAGAGAGCCTCCAAAATGAGATCACAGTCACACAAAAGAAATCATTCTAACAACCTACATAAGAAAAGCCAAATGGATGAATACTGCCTATGTTCAGACTATAAGGTATGAATAGATATGTAGTTTGATGAGTGAGTCTATCTTAGAGAGGCATACAGATGGACTCCGTATGGGCCCAATATTTAAGAAGAAGCAAAGTACAAATTGGAATGCACTATGGAAATTGTATAACCTTTCTTTTCCACAATCCTGAAACAAAATTCATCTTTTTAAACACACATGCATGCTATCTGATGAGGCACACATTCTAGGCACAGGGCTATACATACTGGAGAAGGAAAGAAAGGCAAAAAACAGCCCCTATTCTCAAGGAGCTCACAGTGTAATGGAGGAGAAAATATGCAAACCATGTATAGAGAGGCTATATTTCAGACAAAAGATACTAGTATTGAGGAGGACTGGGAAAAGCTTCTTGTAGAGGAGGAATTGAAGCCGCAACCTAAAGGAAACCAAGAAAGCCAGGAAGTGAGGGTGAAGAGGAAGAGAATTTCAGACATGGGTGGATAGCTGGTGAAAATGCCTACAGTCAGGAAATGGAATATCTCCATAATATCTATAGAAAAAAATGTGTAGGACAAGGCAATGTAAAGATGTATGGCTGGTACAGTACAGCATAGCACATTGTCAATGAAGATGTGCTGAGGAAGTGGCATAAAAGGTATCATCCAGGAAATGTCTGACCAGAAATGGATGTGTAGCCTGCATGTAGCAGGAGCAAAGGATAATTTATGGACCACCTGGATATGTAATGCTCAGACCCATGGAATGTTAAAAGACCTAAAGAAAAGCTTATAGTGATGGATCAATATTCTGGTAGATATGAACAAGTACTAGACAGAATGACCAAGTGTGTATAATCTACAGTCTCTACCATCAGATAAAGCATACACTCCTCAATGAATCATAGAATATTACAGCAATCTTCTGGTTCACTTCCTATATTTATTAAAAAGCTGTAATGTAACTCAGGTACCTCAGTTAGCATATGGAAGTAAAGTCTTCCACTATGGCATGTGTCCCTCCCTATGCTTCAAAAGTTATGGACAGAAAGCACTGAAAATGTGGATTAATGCAATAATCTCCTCCTACTGGATTATGAAATGATAAAAAACACAACAGCAAACCCCTTTTCTTGGTAAATATGAAGCTTAACTAAAGGAACAAAAACAAATAAATTAATAAATTGTTTACTTACTTTCTCATCATGGACTAACTCTTGGGATTTCAGAAGTGAAGCCTTCTCTTCATCTACCCAATTGCCCCACTCTTCAGCAGGAGCATTCCAATCAGAGCTGGGATCAGCAGAAGAAAGTCCATCTATAAATTGAAAGCACCATATAAATGTCTAATCTCCCTATTTAAAAAATAATAGCAAAATACACCAGCTTTCACAGGGCTTCTGTCTCATGAGTTACAATGACTTGTTTAGCAATAACTTCACAATGGGGTAAAAAGGTCCCACCCACCCTGGTCCCATACACATCCCTTACTTCTGTAAAAGGACAGAAGGAATTAGTTGAACCTGTCATTTCACTGGGACACGTGACTCTCAATGAGAAAACTCCTGTTACTAAAGCAGATGAGCAACAGTTTGTAACTTATTTCTTGGGACACTGAAAGCCTAAAGCAGTCAGGGCTACACAGCCTGCATGCATCAGAGATGGAACTGAGAAATTCAGTTTTTCCTGATTCCAAGGCCAATTCTATATACCATGGTACCTTTCAAAACAGCATGCTAGCAAAACCTTATTTTTTTACTCTCACATAATCCACTGAACTGGCTTTCTAGGTATATAACTTTAGACAAGTTATTCTACTACTTAGTCATTCAGTATTCCCATTTCCCTTTTTATTTCCTGAATTTCCCTCTTCCTATTATTACAATATCTACCGAGGTATGTTCTAGAACTTGGTGATTTCTGGCCTTAATTACTTCAACCAACTTTTTCCTGCTAAGTTCCTTTTTATGAGTCAGTGGTCCATGGATTCCCTAATAGAACTGTCTTTTTAACTACCTCATCTTCCTTCTAAAAGCTTCACTTAGAATAGTTTTCTATCAAGTAAACATAACTTCTTTCCAGTCTGTTTTAATTTCTTCTAATACCTCTCACCCACTCTCATCTTTCTCCACTAAAGGTTCCCTTCGACCTGTTTGTTCAATAGACTGACCACAGGGCAGATGAATAATTTTCTGGATAAAATGACTCTTGAAGGCTATCTATCAAGGAATGTAATAATCTGTGCCGAGAGGACCAGTTAACAAATATTAACAGAATCAGAGATCCCTGCAGTATGGAAGAAGTCCTATTGTGAAATTCTACAATCATTTGTGTGCCACCTCCAGAAATTCCTTTGCCTCGTGTCTAGAATTAATTTCACTATTCCTACCTTCCTTCACTTAAAGCTATTTCACCCAATCCAAATAAGCAATTCCCTTCAAACAACACTACAAAAGACAAGCAATTACGAAGTGCTCACTGTTTGCTAAATGTTGAAGACACAAAGAAGGAAAAAATAATTCCTGAAGGAATTTAACAATGTAATATGGGAAACAGCAAGAATATAAGTAGGTAAGTACAACAGTCATATAGAATAGATGGAAGGAAATCTCATGGAAAGACTATAGCAGCTAGGGATATAGATAAAGACTTTTAAAAGAAGGTAACTTTCAAGCTGAATTTTGAAGGAAGTCAGGAAGTTTAAGAAGCAGAGCATTTCAGGCTAAGGAATATGCTGGTTCAAAGGCACAGAGACGGTAGATGAAGTGTTATGTGTGAGGAACAGCAAGTAGGTCAATAGCTGTATCAAACTATGTATGGGGCAGATGCAGTAAAACGTAAAAAACAAGAAACAACAAAAAAAACAGTACTCAAAAACTAGAAAAGTAAGAAGGGGCCGGAATATAAAGGGTTATTTTAAATGCCAAATAAGGACTTTTGTTGAGTAGACACACTTTAGGAAAATTGCTTTGGTGTCTGATGTGGAGTTGGGAGAGACCTAAGGCAGACATAATTCTTTGCTCACGAACTAGGGGTTCTGGAGAACTTATTCAGAATATTCCCTGTTCTCTATGTTCGGTCTACCAATCATATTTTATTAAGATGTCTTTAAAATTATAGATATTAACCTGAGAACATTTTGAACGACGACCATTTAGTTTCAAGATGGCAGACTGATCTCCCCCACCCTCAAATTTCAGGTGTATCTTGATTCCCATTAGTAATATATCATTTTTAGTCTAAGTCAACTCTTTTGAAAGTTATTATAGAACAAACAACCCTTACTTTATGGGTCACATAATCCAGTTATTATACCTATTTTACAGACAAGAAACCAAAGTTTAGAGAATTTAAGTGATTTTGTACAAGCCCGTACAGCTAGTAAAGACTTGACCAATAATCTTTTAACTAAATCCAGTGCTCTAGTATCACAACTGAGATATAAAATAATTTGTCACTTAAGTCTGAAACTGAAAAGTTAATGAAGAATAAAGAGAGAAGAAATCAACTTAGTACTATCTCCCCAACTAAATTAACAATCTACACAGTTGTGGGGTTACAAATGTCATCAGGAAAACATATTTCTAGTTTCCTTTATAGCACTAAAATACCAGGTTTCTATAATGTTAACCAGAACAAATGATGACCAGGAATAAGTCAATGGAGGAAAATGAGAGTTTTAGGAAAAGAGAGAGGCAAATGGCCTTACCTCGGGGACCTTAAAATAAGTTCTCCTATAAAAAAAATTAAATGCTTTGCTATCCATATCTAGACACGAAAAGACAGAAGCTGACAATAACTTTGTTTCTTAGCTTTATCTATCTCTATGTTCCTCCCTACTTCCCAATAAATCCAAAAGTAAGAACTTCAGAGGCTAAAAATTGAAAAAACTGGGGAAAACCCTGAAGTCTAAGAGTAATAATTTTCAGTTATGTGTAATGAAAAAATATAGTCCAGTCTTCTGAGATTAAGATCAGGAGGTAATTCTCATCCTAAGTACCAGCGAGGTTGCCACCAGGGTTGAACCTTAATCCATTCCCTGCCCCACCCCCCACCCCAATCCCTGTCCAGGCAAAATGACAAGTTTAGTCCAAAGAAAACAAGACTTAAGCCCTAGGTAAATAGCCAGTTACTTAACTAGGAGTGTCTCTGTTCCATGTTTTAAAGAGCTCCAGTTCCTTAATGAGGAACCTGTAGCCTCAAGTCCCAAGTTTTATAGAACAAATCCTATTTGTTCTGTGAAGTTTAGATTCAGTCAATGAGGGCACTTGAGGACCTAAAGGGCCACATGTAGCCTCAAGCGTGAAGGTTTCTCACCCCTGGTTAGAGCCTAAGAATCTCTTACTGAAATTGTTCAGTCAATTTTGTCTGACCTCATTGGGGGTTTTCTTGGCAGAGATATTGGAGTGGTTTGGAATTTCTTTCTCCAGCTCATTTTACAGATGAGGAAAGTGAGGCAAACAGGGTTAAGTGACTTGCCCAGGGTCACACAGCTAGTAAGTGTCAAAGGCCAGACTTGAACTCAGGAATATGAGTCTTCCTAACTCTCAAGCCCAGTGCTCTATCCACTTCACTACCTGGCCGACCCTTATTGGAGACTAGTGACGTAACAAGACAAGTCACTCCATAAAAGTCAAAAAGTTCCCTGCCTCTACTAGTGTTGTTGGTGGTCCATGACTAGGGTAGCTGCTTTTCTTTTTTCCTTTGGCTTTTCCACTAAAGAACATATTCAGGATGAAAAGCTAGGTAAACATTTGTAACTGAGGCCAAAAGCAGCAAATCAATGTTCAGTTGTAGACCATGGATTTAGTGGAACAGAATTTGGCAGGGATAGCACCAATGCAAAGAAGCACAATGACCTCCCTAGCAGAATCAATTAGACAGCCTTACAGCTTAAGTATGATTCGATCTTTTGATTTTATTGCTTCATCACCTACATCCCTGTGGGTTTGTGACCATTAATATATCCCGGGCCACATGAATCTCCTACATGTACCCTTCCATACATGTTTCTTACAGGTACTATTTTTTCTCATTGGCATGTGCATTTGTAGGAAAACTTCCAAGTTTATGGTAGAAATGTTTTACTGTTACTTTTCTTATTATATCACTCCATTAAATGATGTGGCTTTGAACTAACTGCTTCTTCTGACCGGCTAGTAAAGACAAATACATCACTAGGGGTTCACTAGCTAGCAGACCCAGAGGACCTTGAACTTGGAGTAGCTGTCTCTAGGAAACCTGTGAATTGGGAGGGGCCTTCAAGTGACAGATACACAAATAAATGTACACAACACATTTCAAATAAACACTTATGAATTTCAAACTTCTCATAGTTTCCATTAAAAAATGGAAAAAATCCTTATTCATCTAAAAATCTAATATCATAGATCTAGAAATGGAAGGTATCTCAGGTCATTTACTCCAATCCTCCCTCATCATCTAAAAGTCAAATATATTATAATGCCTTTCAAAGACATTCTATTTTACAAAAAATAAAAGCCTCATTCAACAATTTTATTTTATCCATCTGAGATACAAAAATAACCAAGTATAATTACTCTCCTACAATTCACTTTCTTTATAGACCCTAACATGGACATATTAAAATTATATGTCATAAAAATTAAAGTAACATTCTTAAAAGTTTCTGGTCCTCAGTTTCTTCCTATGCAAATTTTAAAAAGGACATTCAACATGACTAAATTACTACAGAAAAAGTATCTAAAACATTGTTCTTAATGTGACTATCGAACACAATTACACATAATTTTATACTATAAAATTACACTGAAAGATGGATCATGAGACATACATGGAATTCAACACTCAATCACCTACTTGCTTTTTTAACTACTTCTCTATTGGGGCCCATAGTTCTGGTCTGTTGAATGACTTGGTTAGTGGGAAACACAACCCTAGGGGATTACAGCATGATTCTCACAAAGCTCACAGTCTCTACTGCACCATAAGGTAGGGAATGCTAACATGAAACGCCCAGAGGATCCTGGAAAAGGGGTTCTATTTAACTTGATCTTTTGTGTAAGGCAAACTTCTTGGCTTTAAGCACTATGCATGTGACCCTGGATCATAAAAGAAATGAGGAACTTTTCATTCTTTTTAAAAATGTCTATATTCAGGGGTTATGAGAGCTATTTACTGATAAAGTTTCATTCTTGCAACTTTAGGGATTAGGAGAGTAATTCATTCTTAGGGGTTGGGATGATCTAAAGGAAGTGTTTGAAAACCCAAAATTAAATGGAGAAAAGAAAAATTAACAACTTAATGGGCTCTTCTCAGTTGAAAAAGGAGCTAAGAATGGCATGGACTTACAATAAATAACAATGAACATCTGAAGGTTTTTAAATATCAATATATCAATAATCAAATTTAATAAAGATGGAGCTCCTTGTAGGGCTTTGTGGATCTGGGGAATCACAGGTGAGATGTACCCTTCGGACTTTTATTTTGGTAGTCTATACAGTTGAGACGATGTATCTCAGACTCTGACAGTTTCTATAAACATGGAAAGGCTGTGAGTAAGGACCTAGCACATTGCATAGCCTGTCATCCAGCTCAGTTCAGTAAGGCTCATCAAAAGGAAGATAGCCATCAAAGGATCTAAGTTTTGGCTATAAGCAAATAATTTGTTTAGTATTAAGGTCTAGAAATGTTGAGATCTACACCGAACGTAGTGACAATTCACAATGATGAAATCATGAACCTTGTGAAATAAGAGGACAGATAATTAAGACTATCACCCAGTATGCTTACCTTTAGCCCTGCAAATTAACCCTAGAAAAATTGTACCCACCCATAAAGGAAAGGAGGAAGCAGGAGTTAGAGGCAGTGATGGTTGTTGGCTAAGGGACACAAATAATCAAGATTTGGGCAGATTCTGAACCTGAGGAGTTGCCCTGGCTCCCTGTACTGGGATGGGCAATATCTGAAGTCAGGGTTCTGGATGCTAGGCTTCTGTTAATGTGGTCAGGTTTGCTTCTGCTATTGTGTGTCATATTGTTGGATCATTTGGTTAACTAATTTATGAAGTCTCCCAAATAAACCATGAATGACTCTCACATATCTGCTACATACCAGGCAGGGACCACAGAAATCAAAGCGAGCTTAGGATTTATAAATGAGTTAGGAGATAATTGCCAATATGAAGAAAAAAGCAGCAGTATTCTTCACTTTCCTTTGGCCTTTTCTGACACTCTTGCCTTTTAATGTGGCCTTTCTATAAGGCTTTCTATAATATCATTGAAAGTAGAGGCTTAGTGGAAAAGTCCATTTCAGACCTGGCCCCACCATCGAACGTGAGTTTGTTCAAGTTACTTAAGCAGTTGCAAGACTGAATCCTCACCTTCAAAAGGGCTGTTTGCAAGTAAAATGCTTTGTAAAACAAAGTGCTATGTAACAATTTTTTTCATTGTGTCCTTGATCTACACTATGTGCTACATTGAGATTTAACAGCAGAAACTTAAAGCAATCATTTTGCCCTTGATTTCCCAAGGTAGCTTTAGAATAGAAAAAGCAATTTGTGTTTAAATATTATTTCAAGTATGGAGTTAGTTTAAATATGGCATTATATTAATCAGTTTTCAAGTAGGGCATTTGACATTAAACTCTTTTGAACTAAAGTTGAAAAGGTGTAAAATTAGAGGCAAAGACACAAAATAGTAAGGTTATTTAAAAGCAACCTGCTGAGAAAAAGCTTTGTTGTAATTTTTAAAAGGACATACTTAACCCAGACCATTCATCATCGATATGGGGTTGATTACGGCTTACATCCCACTGAAAATCAGAAGCAGTAGACTGAGAAACCTCAGTGGTAGACCCTTAAGTGAGAAAATGAACGCAAAAAAATTAAACAACAATTTTATAATGAAGTTTTTTCACAATAATTTCTTCCTTTCTTTTGGTTTTTAGTGGGGAGGGGCTTGAGACTTAATTAGTGTGGTTTCTTTCAAAGAAAGAAAAAGGTTTTTAATTCCTGGTGGCAGTGGGGGATGGGAAAAGAGAAAGGCAACCACTAACACTTTTGGGCTCACATAAGATGAAAATATCTGCCTTGGTTCCTAACTATAGACAGGAAGTGTCTCTCTCATAGAGGAGAATAAAAGGGCCAAGTCTCACTGTTCTGAAACATATTACTATTACCTTACAGAGTAACAATGTTGATGAGAGTACTTGGAAATTTTTGCTTCCAAAAATTCCAAGAAATTTAAAAAACAATTTAAAATGAAATGTATTTACAAAAAAAGGTAAAATTTAATTTTTGTTTCAAACACAGTTTAAATTGATTTTACATACCAGAAACTGAAGTGGTGAGTGCCAGAGATGGAAAGGGAGCAGAGTTCTGCTCAGTCGAATTATTTACCCTCCTATCCACGTTACCAGACCAAGAAGCTGTCAAAACAAAGGTTACTTAGAACTTTTCAATTTATGGTGGCAATGTTAATATGTGCACAGATTTGAAATGACAATATTTTTTTACAAGATAATTTCAAGCCATAAACATGTACTTCAACATTTTGAGAAAAATCCTATTTTATATCTAATGATTTTAAGGAACATTTTAAAATTAAAATGCACTATGTTCTGCGTATCCTCTGCTCCCTCATCTTAGCACAGCACCTGGCATGAAGTAGGTACTTAATAGATATTAATTGTTTATTGATGATCCCCATGCCACTTTGCAGAGCAAGCAGCTATGATTCTTCTATGAGGAATGAAGAAAATGAAAAAGTGGGATGCCAAAAACACCCATGTGGGATTTTAAGAACACTCATGTTCCCTAATACTAAGTGAAAATTAAAATTTTATAGGAAATTCTAATAATAGAATACCATTTCAAGTATCATTAAAAAAAATCTAAAGGCTCTTTATTCTGCACCAACTCCCCACTTCTCTGCCATTTTGGCAAATGAATGAGATCTTTTCCTCTAGGTGCCTTCATCAGACAAGATAATTTCCCTGTCCTCGTCCCTTATTTTTGATCCTCAATCTTAAAGCCATACTGTGTATCATAACCCTAAAAAAGCTCAAAAAGCAGAGGACTAGTTATTCCAGACCAACATAAATAAGTCTAGGGAATTCCATAACCAGACAGTTCTTCACCAGGAGTATTAATCTAGGTTCTAAAGGAAGCACCCATACTGAAATAATGAATCCTATGAGTACTGGATTTAATGAAGCTTTATACTCCTCATTTTTGTTTTTAACTTTAAAAGCACATTTTATGCTTTCTAAAAAGTAAACAAATAAACTTCTAAGTGAATCCCCCAAATTTCTTTTAGGGCCACAAAATGAAGGGTTTTTTTGTAGTGGAACTCAGACAAAAAGCTCCTCATTATCTTTAAAAAATTAAGAATGGCAAAATGTGTTGTAAATGGTGGTTTACTGAGGCTACTAAATTCTGACACATAAGACTATAATTTCTTTCTATATTACATATACAGAATTTCTATCTTATGCTGTTAATTAAACTATAGGAATTTCTTGAAAATATTTGCACACAATTCCTTGGGTGAGATTTTATTGTTATACAAATACTATTTTACTACCTGAGGATTTTTTAAAGGCTGGAAAACCCCAAATTTTCCAGTTATACAAGGTTAGTAAATTGAATTAACATGATTTAGTAGCTCTTACCAATGCCAGGGAATAATGAACGTTCACCCCAGGTCCTTCCCACCAGGGACACACCCCAGTCTTTTCCATTTGCACTAGTATCTCCAGTATCCTGACCCCAAATAGATGGCTCAATCTTCCTCTTTCCAGCTGAAGCAGATGACACAGATGTCCATTTCTCCTCACCTGCACTGATCTGTGAAGGGATTTTTATTGACTTTTCATTCCAGCTGCCTCCATTTACAGTAGGGTTTTCATTCAATCCTGAAGAAACAGAGCAATGGGTGAAAGTTACGGAGAAACAAATTTAAGGCAACATTTTCTAACAATTAGATCTATCCAAAAGTGGAAAAAGCTGCCTGAAGGGGATGTTTAAGTACAAGTTGAACTAGATAGGATCTGAGCTCCCTTTGGCTTTGAGATTCTATGGATTCTGGTATGGAATTTGAAATACTTTGTCAAATTAATGCAATCTAATTCTTCAGTAGCATTATGACATGAAAGGAAGTATATACCATATACACTGACATATTTAGATATGATAAACCTGAATGAGAACATGAGGGTTCTTACAATCAATTAGTGGCTAAATCTATAAGCATTTATTAACTGACAATTATTTTGGCAGCAAAGCTGCATAGTGGACAGAGTGTTGGACTTGGATTTCCAAAAACCCAAGTTCCTACCTTACATATAAACTAGTTGCATGACCCTGGGCAAGTCATTTAACCTTTCAGCCTTAGTTTGCTCATCTGTAAATTAGAGATAATAGCATCTACCTCACAGAGTTGTTGTGCAGACCAAATGAGATAAGAGATATAAAGTACAAACTTTAAAACTATCATTGTTTTTGTTGTTATTGTGCCAGGTGCTAGGGATATACACACAAATCCTGCCCTTGAGAAACTTACATTCTACAGCAGTATTGTATTTCTCTCCTCTGATGATATATTCATGCATATGAATGTCAGATGATAATGGTAGTTAGATATGAAGATGACACCTGAAAATGCTGTCTCAAAAGTTTTACAGACTGCAATAAATTCAATTTTTTTGGAGATAGAGTAGTATAGTATATAAGAGCATCAGATTCGGGGTCAAGAAGACCTAGGTTCAAAATCCTAACGCTGATATTTAGCTCTATGACCACTGGCAAGTCCAATTTCTCTGGGCCTTCTTTGGTTTCCTCCTCTGCAAAATGTGGACAATAGCTTTAGCTGCTATCTCACAAGGCTGAAGCGAGAATGTACGCAAAGGGTACTGCAAACCTTAAAGCACAAATGTCAGTTGTGCAAACCTGAAAGTAATACTTGTTCCTAAAGTTAAAGAGTACTAGTATTATTTACTTTTTATCAATATTGTGGGGTGGAGAGAGGGAAGGAGAGAAGCCTTTTAATACCTATTTGCAAGTATTAACCCAAAATGCTTTTGGGACTCATTAAAAATGCTTGATTGCCTAACTCCTTACCCTGAAGGGTGAGATCTCCTTTTCCAGATTTAAAGTTGCTACCTTGAACATTGAGAAGAGAATCACCTGGTTGAAACAGAAATAAATTTCACATAACATTAAGCAGGGAACTATATAGGTCAAATTCACTTAGAAACAACATGATTTCAATTCTACTGAACAGCTATATTGAGTTACTCTTCTTTTGTTTAGGTTTGATATCAGAATGGAAAGTCAGGTGTACACCAAAGATATTTCATATCTACTTTTAGGGAACTGAGCTATCTTAATTACACCATCAACTAATAAAGAATCAATAAAAGGTTTGAGAAGTACTTAAATGCCTAAACTCAGATTATGCTTTGAAAGTAAATTCTATAATGTGACTAAAGATTTGTGAAACTATAGAACTGGTTCACTAGAACTGTATTCAACATTGCCATTTTATAAGCAAAATTTTCTAAAATTAGAAATTTATACTGATTCCTTTCTTTTTGACTCTCTCCCCTCTTTTTTCTATTACTGAGAACATGAGTGCTAATCCTTGCTAAATAATAAGATGATGACAGAAGTAAACGAAAAGTACTGATGTACTGGGAGTCTGAAAAGTATTAATGAGACTGGTAGTCTGGAGATCTGGCTCTGCTGCTAATTAGCTATGTGATCTTAGGTGGTAACAGCTTAGTTTTAGTTTTCTCAACTGTAAAATGGATTACATAATCTCTAAGGTCTAAGATCTCGAAGTTTAAAAATTCAGTTGTATTTTGAGCTATTTCAGATACCTTTTCAATCATCCCAGCAGAAGCAACATTGTGACTTTGGAAACGGCTGTACTACATTTGGGACCAGGAAACTTGGGGGGTTGGGGGAGAAGACAATTTGGAGTTCCTAGACATTTGTTCTTTGATACCTAAGAACATAAATCACAATGTACTTTCTTCTCTTCCCAAAACAGCATTTACAGGATCATAACTGAAGAGGCTGACAAAAAGGCATGCATATGACAGTGAAAAAGGGATATGAACTAAAAATTACTAAGGAGTGAAACTGGGGAAATTCAACAAAAATGAGTCACTGCTGCATTATGCTGATAAATTCCACTAAGCATACAGGCAGCAAAGGGAAAGAGAAGGAAGCAGGTGAAGACAACGATGAGGCCAAGGAAAAGACAACTCAAAGACTAAAGCAAACTCAACATGATCACTCTGAGCCTGTCCTGGATGAAAATGATGGCAATATATGTAGAGCTTCCAGATAACTTGATAATTTGAGCATACTCAGTGGCACAAAACTAGTCCAAATGATCTCTCAAGGTTCCTTTTAGTTCTATCACTTTAACATCTGCAAAATACTCAAATGACCTAACAGCTGATGTTGTAAACATTCTTTTAACGGAGGATTCAAGGACCTCAGGATCTACACTTCTCCAGAAATGCTTGCTTCAGAATGTTCAAGGAAGACACTAAACATGCAAGCTGCTGACAAAATGCTTCAATGTACTAAATGTCTACATCATGATGACAAATGAGGATGACAGAAAGTATACTTTATTTTAGGGGCAAAGGAAATACAGATGAGGGAAGCAGGCTGTTTCTTTTTCTCCTCTTAGGCTATGAGTTTTTAGTTAAGGCTATGCAGTTTTTGCTTTGCTGGGCCTTATTTTTAAAGGTATTGTATATAACAAGCAATGTTGCTAGTATTAGCTAAATCATGGTTCATTATACAAATGCCGCGATTGTCGGGTTCTGAACTCATGATGCTATGTCGTAGCTCAGAATAGGAGTTCATCTTTGATGTGTCCCTCTTATGCTCCACTAAGTACCTTTATTCTTCCTGGAACCAACGGGAAACGAAGCTGTAATAAGCTGCTCAGTGGTTACTGTATAGGCACTTTCTATCCCCGAGACAGCTGGATCCAAGGGACCAGTATCAGGCTGCACCTTGTCGCGCTTACGCTGCTGCCGTTTCTCTCTGTTACTGACTTTAGTTTCCCAGGCTCCTGACATAGCCCCAGGGAGAAAAAAAAAGGTATTTAGTAAGGACAAACCAAAAGGGTGGCGTTGAAAAAAACAGAAACAAAACAAATGGAACAGGGCATCATGACAAATTTAGGTTGTAGAATAAAAATCAGAACAATGCTGGTTACATGAAATAAGAGTCTGATCTAACATTTTCTCTGGCAATGAACTACACAGGTGACACCAACTATCCTCATGCTTTCCTCTAGATACTTTGTCAAACTTATCACCGATGTCTCATAAAAGCTGAGGGATGAGAGAAAATATCTTGTGTCTTTACCTTGTTGGGGACAGAGCCTAACAGTGTCATATAAAAACATACTGGAGTATGTTTTTTAGATGATAATAAAGGGGGCTCCTAAATAAGGACACTCCAAGTCCTCTAACAAGGTGGGAGGTGTTTAGGGAAAAACACTGATCTTTAAGAATCAAAGACTAAGTAGGTAAATCTAACTGTTTAATGTAGTCAGTTAAACCTCAGAATGCTCCCCCCCACCAGAAGCACGACAGGTTTTTTCAGTAAGAGAAATCACTGGCAAGACTTCAATGTTTCACAAATTCCAATTAAATAAAAGTGTGTATTAGTAAAGTCACAGATTTGTATAATAAGATACAAAGTTATGAAAAGAGGAGTTAGACGATACATCATTAAACAAATGCAACTCAGAAAAATAGATGACTGTGTTCCCTTCCCTGCTCAGGTACCTTCATCAACTTCCTTTCCATCATGGCGTGAACTGTTCTGCACTGCTTTAACCTCTGACTTTGATTTCTTCTTATTTTTCTTTAACTGAAAGGAAAATAAAGTGTTAACTTATTCCTAGGACACTGAAACTGGGTAGAGATATGATCTCTAGGCATATTAAGACTATTTCACTGGGTTTTTTAATAGCTTTAAAAAAGGTAGAAAATATGTAATATGATATATATCTAGAGAGAGAAAGAGAGACTATTGTTAACAAACTTGACTACATCAAAATCTTTTTGTTGAACACATCAACAAGAAGATGACAGTTTCCTTATCTCTTTTTTGGTTCAGGTAAGGCGAATATTTGTAATACACTGCATCAACAAATTATAAACTGCTAGAGCAGGGGAATACTTTGTTGGCTTCCATTTGTTTCTTCTCTTATATTTAAACTTTAAACTACTGTTAATAAAATATGACACCTTAGAAATTGGTTTGGATTTCTTAGCATTCCTGACTTAGACCAGATCCAAGTGACAGACTGCTTGCGCCTGAGGTAGATGCAGAGACCTGAATTGTTACTACTAATCAGCTAACATTTATTAGGGTGGTAACTGTGATTTCACTGCCATGAAATCCTCTACCAATGTAATACCTCAAAGTTCTTTGAGTTATGAATTCCCCTATCATAGATAAGATGGCAATACATCCACCAAGTAATTCATAGTACCTTTTGGGATGCTTTGGCAGTTTTGTCTGCAGTCTGTCCCTGCAAGACACTAATCTTAGGAAAAAGACTCCTTATTTTCCAGCCCATGAAGTCCAAACTGTGCTGCAAAGAAATGCCTCTCTTTGCAGTCAGGTCATGCAATGAAGAGTGCTGGGCCTGGAGTCAAGAAGACTCAAGTTCAAATCCACCCTCAAACATTTAAAAGCTGTGTGCTTATGAACAAGTCAGTGAGCCTCTGTCTGCCTCAGTTTCCTAAACTATAAAATGGGGATAATAAATACTAGAACCTACCTCCCAAGGTTGTTGTTGAGACAAATGAGATATGTGTAAGGCAATTAGCACAGTGCTTAATACATTCTTGTTCCCCTTTCCCCCTCTCCAAGTTGGGATCTTCTAAGTTTCTAACCCACCCCTCATGTCCATTCTGTTGGACCCAAATAGCTCTTGCCCTAATGTACAAATCAGCCTTTAATACTTTCCCAATTACTCCCCTTTCAAGACTTGAGATCTCTACCCTAAACTTGCTTGTCAGCTTTCAACCACCTTGTAGTCCCTCCTCCTACCTTCTCACTTCATGCTACCGTATTATGACTTGGCAGTAAAATTATCGAACTCAGTCTTATACTCTACCATGGAAATTTGATTTCTCAGAAAAGCCATCAGTACCAAAAATGAGACACTAATTATCAAGTAAACAAAGACTGTAAAATAGTAGTAGATAAATACACTGCAAAAAAAAAATACAAATTAAAAAAAGGCAGCAAAGGCATAGTGGAAAGAAAGCTAGTCTAAGGAGCCAGGAAGCCCAGGATTCAAGTTTTGGTTCTGACACATATTAGCTGCGTGACCCTGGTCAACTTGCCCTCAGCAACCTAGGCAACTTTCTAAAACTATGAATTGCAAAGAAGGTGCCAACCTCCACTGGTACAGGAAGTTTTTCAATGAAATCACAGGTCCAGTATCTATCAAGGACTCACATGATCAAGATCTTAGTTGAGAAATGGAAATGTCATTTATAAAAATGACATCCTACCTATAATAGTATTACAAATTATCTATTTTTCAAGGAACTAAAAAAATTTTCAAAACTGCATTTATCCCTGAAAAAACTATGAAGTCAGAAAACTAGCCTCCTAACCATGACGTGAGAACCTCTAAAAGATCTAGTTTACACCCCATGTTAAAATATCAATGATAAGAGGGTAGTTAAGGAAAGAAAAAAGTAAAATTCTGGGATGAAGAGGTGGTAAGTAAAGGAAGAGGATCAAGCAGAGACTGAAGAGGTAGCTTACTTAACCAAAGTGCTATATAAATAACCAAGTATCTATCTTCTCATAAGAATGGCAGCTAGGTGGTACACTGGATAGAGTACCCTGGGAGTGAGGAGGATCTTATTTCAAGTTTAGCCTCAGACACTTACTACTAGGCTGTGTGACCCTAGGTAAGTTACTTAACCCTTTGCCTCAGTTTCCTCATCTGCAAAATGAGCTGGAGAAGGAAATGGTAAACCACTCCAGTATCTTTGCCAAGAAAACCCCAAATAAGGTCACAAAGGGTCAGACATGACTGAGAAAATGACTTCACAATTAGCACAAGAATGGCAAACTACAATAACATTTGTATAATTCATTATAAGCAATAAACATTTACCACAAGCACCTCTATGTTCCAAGTTACTTGTAGATGAAAACAATCCCCCATCATACCTATTAATATTCTACAACCCAATAACAAACTGATATTCACCATAAACATGTTTTTTGTCAACCCATTTACAAGGTTATACTAAACCCTAAAGCCAGATTCTTATACATGTCAAAGATGCAAGAGCACCTACCTGGATTGTGCAGGGGATAAATCACAACCTGAGTTCTGTATTAAGCTAAGTCTTCCTCTTAACTTAAAAACTTGCTAAATCTCACCTGCCCTTTAAAAAAAAAAATCTAACCCTCACTTTTCAAAGTATTTTGTCAGTGGTCAGTCTAAATGCATTATCCTCCCACGCAATTTCAGCACAGTTAAGTGGAGACATTTACAAATTCTTAGTAACTCCTTGGACCGGAAATGTTTAAGCAGCTATTTATGTTAAAGCACTTCTTTCAATGTTTAGCAAAGCTCACTGACTGAAGTTACAAAGAAGCGGCTTGTCAGACAACTGGATCAATGCAAAAAGCAATGATTTACAATAAAAACTAAGGATATCCCTGTTTATTAACTTCAACATCAGAAATCCTCTGATTCTTTAGCAGGCCAGCAATATATTTCCAATGTGATATAACTCATCCAAAAAACCATAGTGGATCAACCCTTGTATTTTCTGGAAGCAAGAGAGCTGGGTCCAAGGACTAGTCTCACCATGGATCAGCTACATGTTAACTGTTAGAAAGTCACTCTACCTCTCTTTTATCTCTTTTGTCAATCTGCAAAATGGAAATTATGCTGTGCTACCTTTTTAGCACTGTTCATGAGGAAAATACCTTGGCAAGGGTCATACAAATATGCACTATCATATTTTATCAAATGAGTAAATGCTAAACTTTCCAGTAAATACAAAGTGAGACTGACTACATAAGCCCAGAATTATGAAATGAACAGTGAGCAAGGTAAGGAAAATGGCTGTCATAGATGGTTGGCAATTCCTTTACAGAATACACAACTCATTGCAAAATTGTTTCCCAAGCACACCAGAGAATCAAGTTTAGTATTTACTTAAAATTACATATCTATTCTTAATAAGTATGCCCAAGATTCTACCTCTAAGGCCAGAAGCAAATTGTCCTCTTCCCCCAAAACAGAAAATATCCAGATTATCAGGAGTTGGTTGTAATGATATATTTAATATTTCCTCTTTCTTCTCTCATTTATGAGCTAAGTATGGCTAACAAAAGTCTGTATCACAACAATCAGTGACATCACTGATTAGAGTGGCAGGAGGTACAAGCTGACAGTGTAAATAGAAGCTCTCGGCCTTAACAAAAGACCCTATTCATTCTAAATGACTGCTGTTCAAACCACAGAAGTTCTTGGCAGATCTTACCTTTGACATCAGCTGAAAGACCACCTCAGACTTGGAAAGCATGCTTTAAACCTGTCAACTAATGGCTCTCAATGTGAAAGAAAAAGACTCTATAGAGGATCTCTAACTCTGATAACTGCCTAATTCATACATAAAATACCAGCACCCTCAATATTACGCAGCTACCAAATGATTAAAATTATTTTAGGCAAAATGTGAGGGCTGGGGGATTAAAAGAGTGAGGGATTGGTAATCATTTATTACTGGTAAAAGTTGGTGAGCTGTTTGTAAGAAAAATACTACAGACAACTAAAAAATGAATTAGAGCAGAACTTGGCTTTGCAGTTAGCAACTTACTGCCAGGCAAAGTATCAGTAGGTTATCCTGTGAACCTCTCAATGAGAATACAAAAATTTTACTAGCAAAGGCTTTCCCCTCAAAAACAAACAAACAAACAAAAAAAACAACTGGCCCCTAAAAATGTTAGTAGGCTAAAATCTTCAGTATTTATGGCCTCAAAGACAAATAGGGACCATACCAAATAGGGACATCAGGAATACAAGTTAAGAGGTGGCTGAAAGGATACTGTTTAGTATCATGAATGACCACTGTGACTCCTGTCCTTCCCAGGCAACCAAGTTCAGGGAGTTCTCCCTTTTCATAGTTTGACTCCCTGTTAAATAACTGCCTAAATATTGCTTATTGCCAACATCTGCTCATTTGAGAATTTCTATCAATGTCTCAATAGACAAAGAAAATACTATATATATTAACTATCTGTAGTCATAGTCAGGTTTTGAAGCAGAACGGATTTGAGATTCAATCTCTAGGAATACATTTAAAAGACTGTATTAATATATAACTTGAATGTTATTTCAAACAGACCACAAATAAAGGGCACTGTTTGCATGACCATGAAAAATGTCATTTCAAACTGGCTGAAACCTGCCAAATATCTGTCAACCAATAATTAATGGTTGGTACTTTTAACATAAAAAAACATTCTGAGGCCAAGGGAAGATGTCACAATGGCACTTGACCATAAGCACACCATTGACTGGTCTCTTGATCACTGCTTTCTCTCATCTAGTGAGGTTCTTCAAAAAGTATTATCTTATATACCATACATGAAATGCAATTTTGTCATGAAATCTCACAATAGAAAACTCTGCATAAACAAAACCTTGCATAAACAAAAAAGAAAAAATAAAGAAATCAAATGCACAAGCAAAGGTAAAGGAGACAAAATTATCCTTATCTGCTTGTGACATGATAGCACAGAAAACAGAACAAAAGAAACTAATGAAAACAATGAAGAGTTTCACTAAAGTAGCAGGATACAACATAAAACCATAA